ATGTAAATCTCAAAAAATTTAACAAAATACCGACTCTATCAATTCAATATCTAATAAAACATAATATAACTAAAGAATTTAAAGGCACTCAGACAAGTGCATTTACATCAATACTGAGCATATTGGAAACATAGTTAGTCGAAAAGATATAAAGCTTGTTGTTGATAAAGATTCTAAACAAAATCTTTTTTTCTATTTTTCCAAAACATATTGTTTATTTTAGTAGAATCACATTTAAAATAAATAAAAAAGAACTTATGTAACCTCAATAACATGTAGAAATAATATTTATTATTCATAGTGGTATCATTAAGTTGTACATTTTCCCAGAACAAAGGGAGTAGTGTAGATATATTCACCATTGAAAATAAGAATTTGTAGTCCTCCACACTTAAATACCACTATGTTAACATTCATTTTGTTTTATAATGACAGTAAATATTTAAAATAGATAAATGAATGAAAAAATAATATTATTGTGGTATAAAATTCCCTTAAGAACAAAAAAATAGTTCAGATATTAACTACACAAGTCAATTACTTGTTAGTAGTAATTATCTATAAGTACTAATTGTTATTGATAAAGCACATACTGTTTCTATTAACAAAGTGTCTTGATTATGAAGCAGGAGAATTAATAAGCATTGTTTAAAGGAAAAGAGGATTGGCAAATAGAGATAGGTTAAGAATTCAAAAAGATGTATTAAAACAAATGACAAGGATTTGCAGAATCAAGAAGTTGAAGGGTATATAAAAATCAATAGCTTGAGACCTTGTATTCAGAGAGTGAATAAACATGAGTGAGAAGATCAACAATGTAGGAAGGTTTTTCAAATTTGAGGAGTAGAAATAGAAATACAGAAAGGAAGTATTTTCCTTAAAAAATAGGATAAAGCCACTTCAACTAAGTATACCAAACCAACAGGAGACATATGAATGCCAGGAAAACCAGATGATGAATGTTAAGAAACAATAAGTCTCTTCAGTCTCATCTCATAGATTAATTTATAAATATAAATAAAAACAAATTATGCTTTTCTTCAAATGGGCATGTAAAAATACAAAATAACTACATTAATTCACTTGAATAACAAGATAAAGAATAAATATTTACAAAAAAAAAAAAAATCATGTTAAATAATACGTTTAACTTTTTATTTTTAATAATTTGAAATTTATTTATTTAAACACTTACATTAGTTGAAAGCAATATTATCAACATAAACAACAAATATGCTCATTGGTTACACATATGTTTAATAAGGCTGTTTATGGTTTCAATTTATTTAAATAAAACAATATCCATTTTGTTTTTCTATAAGTGATTTTTGAAGAGAGAATTCAGAAATATGGATAATGTAATTAAATCACATTGAGTGATTTTAGAAAATTTATTTATAATATTGCTATATAATTCTTATTTTTACAGTTTTTTAGCATAAGGCATGAACAGCACCTTGGGGGACACAAGCGATTTCAGTTTGATACCACTGGAGAAGAAAAAACATAATTTTTGACTCTTCTTATAGCATGTTCCTCCTAGCATGGATTTTGAGTTACAGTAAATATTTTTTTTTTTTTTAGAAAATATGATCTAAATAAATGTCAATAAAAGTAAGGGATATTTATAGAGAACACCGTCAACAATACAAACTGAATAGAACCTCAGATGATCACACGGTTATGGAATTCAGAATGTAACCAACCAAAAGTACCTTTATAAGAATTTACATACCAGCTTTAAAATCTTAGAACAATTTCTTACTCACAAAACTTAATGTTATATGTGATTGAATTTATGGTCTACTTCTTTCTTCATATCATGGGTCGTTTCACATTATTAAAATCGTTACTGCTATAATTAGGTCACGATTGTGGAATTCACGCTCAAGAGAAAACAATCCCCCAATGGATCCTTTTTAGTTGAGGTCATTCTTTAACAAATATCTAAATAGATCTGTCATCAATTTTTAATGTTTACCTTTTAAAACCTATCTTAAACAATTAATACTATTAATTGTAGTTATTTTGCTAAATAATATGAAAAAATGATTATTTTTGTCGAAAGGAACCATGAGTTTCAGTTAATTTCTATCAAAGTATTTTGGGTACTAGTTTCAAAGCACTACTCTTTCAGCAATCTTGGTTGATGACAGGTTATCCACAATGTTTCAGATAAGGTTAACAACAGATAGCAGCAGGCAGCTCCACTATTGCGTAGGGGTAGTCTTGTCAGTCACTGACCCCTCCACCTTATGTTCATTACAAATAATTACCTAATACAACCTTTAGAATATATATTACGAGCCTTTTTTTTTTAACTTGTCGTCTTTTTTGTCTCTTCAGTATTTTGACGAAGCAAACTTTCTATTTTCAATGTTATTTATAGACACATATTACCTCAATCAATTTTTTGTCCTATTATATATTTCTTTATGGTTATTGTGTTTATATAGTGTCTGTTTGGTTATCCTAAATTAAAGAAGTTGATTAACTCAAGTTTTGTTTTAATTGTGACACTTTATCTAAAATTGTATTATTTCTAAGAAGAAAGTTAAAACAATTTCAATTTTTGTTTCCCACCAATGATAATCACAAACCCCTGTACTTTTTCGAATTAGTATCCACAATAACTAGGAATAACAATACTTAGGAAGCTAGGAATTCGATTAAAATCCATATGGATATTCAAATGGAAAGTAAAAACTGGATTCAACAAGACTATGATACAAAAATTTAAATTAATTTATAAAACCATGTGATACTAGAAAAATAATAAATGAAATCCTAACACATTAACTTGTCCAATATTAAACAATTGAAGTTGTTAATATCTTATGGAAATATGTAATATCTTAATAAAATTGTAATATCATGGGTGATAAATATTCATGATACAGCCATTATAAAGTTTTTATTGGCGGCGACGTTTCAATCCAAACATGTGGGTCATCATCAAGGCGTGTTCCGAGAACTGAAGGTATTTAAGTACTTGAATACCTTCAGTGCTCGAATCACGCCCTGATGATGACCCACATGTTTGGGTTGAAACATCGGCACCAATAAAAACTTTATAATGACTGGGTCCCGAATATTTATCACCCATGATATGTAGAACAGTCAACTAACTTCCTTCAAGAAGTTGTAATATCTTAAAATGTTGATAACATGGAAAATCGATATTTATTTCCTACAAAGCAAAAATGTTGGGAAAAGAATGCAAACTTTAAAAAAAGGCAGGTAATATGTAACCTAAACGATATAATTTCTATATTTACTTAAAATGAAATGAAGGTGAGGTGGAGGGGACAAGATCAGACAAGACTACCCCTCCGCAGTAGTGGCGCTGCCTGGTGCTATCTGTTATAAACCTTGTCTGAAACATTGGGAATAACCAAGTATCAACCAAGATGGCTGAAAGAATAGTGCTTCGGAACTAGTACCCTATTTTGATATTCACCATTTAATAAAACAAATATTAGTAATTTATAGTGTATTTTTTTCCCTACTAGGACATTTCGAGAATGCTTTGAACCCTTCTTCACCTCATGACATGCCCCATTATTAGGTTAGTCCCAGAATAGGTTTGGTCAATAACTGAAGTAGAGGAGGGTGTGAGAGGGATCCTCCAAGTGGAAATAAAAAAACATATAAATTACAAGTGTTTGTTTTATTAAATCAGACCTATAGGCAACGTGTGAAGATGAAATAAAAATTAATGAAGAAAGATGCCCAAGAGTATGAACTAATACATTTATGTTATGCTTAATTCAGTTTAACAGGAAGGTGTGGAGATCGGTCGTTGTAATTTAATTTCGGGCGGTCTTAGTTTAACATGTGAATTCTCATGATTTTATCTAAAGAGTATCCATTCGAGCTTATGTCCAGTTGCCTGGACATAAAGCTTAGATAACATCTGTAAGGACCAAATAAAGAATTAAAATTGTTTTTTCATAAGAAAAAATATGTATCATTTTTTTGTTTTTTTCTCACACTTTCTACCTCATTTTCGACTCCTACTTATTACCACTCCCTTTTCAACCTTTGAATTCATAGACCCCAACTCTTGCCATATAAACTGTCAATTTTAAACCCTTTTCAGATTTGCCTCCCTTACCAACAATTCGATTTAATTAGGACCAATAAACGTAGGTTATGGCTTTGTTTTAGTTAGTTCAATGCAGTCATGATTAATAGAACGGAACAAGATAACTGGTGAAGGTGACGTAATGCTCTTAGTCATAGTTTAGATAAGAAAACTATTTTACTGGTGAAACTGATATAATGCTTTGTATAAGTGGAATGAAAATAAAATAATTGAGTATCAGAAAAATGAAAGAGTATTAGCAAATCCCAAAACTTAAATGTGATACAAAATAATAGTTCAGGAATATTCACTAATCAACAAACACATTATAAAGGCCTATTCCAAAAAGTAGCAGGCATTTTTTAGTTATGCCTTTTACACCTTCCACTCATTCATTTCATCTAGCATTAGAAGTGTAATCTATTAAATTATTTGTTATCAATTAAACATATCAATATTAATACAATTGTTGTAGATTTATTAAAGTTACTCCTGGAAAATGATACTTCATTTGATAAAAACACGTTAAATACATGCATTTGTTATGTAAAAACATATAAGGCTCTCTTAACCATAATTTGCATTATGACAGAAGCTTATATGTTATAGTAGGCATTTGACAAGTAATCAAAACGTTAAAAATAAAAAAGCAAACTAAAATATCATTAATAGCTTGATCACAGATAAAATGCAGATTTTCCATTGATAATATGCCAAGAGAACACATAATATAATACATTCCTGAAGCAAAGTACTTGTTTCTTCCTTCTTTATTTCATTTCTCCTGTAAACCTCAAAAGAACAAAATGCCGAATCTAACAAGTCAACAATAAATAAAATATTACTAATGACAGAAATTAAAATATGTAATGAGCAACTGATAAAACTATTCAAAAAATATAAAACCACTCACATTTTAAGATTATCACAACTCACTAGGCGATAAGCGAAGGTGTAATGTCAAAGTCAAGCCTCAAACACCAATGTTTGGATTCAGAAGGTTACACTGACTGTTATACATATAAACACCTTTTTTAATTATAACAACTATTTTGAAGTCTTGCTTTAGAGTACGTTTTTTAAACACTCGATCCCGTCATTACAATAGACATTCCCATAACCAATTATTAAGAAAAAAATGAGAATGGATTTTTAAAAAAATAGAAAAAACATAAAACATTCTAACTCTATTTTCAATAAAATTTTCAAATCATTGGAAATGGTATTTTTTCTTTTACAAGTAAATAAGTATCTTGAACAAGAGGTAAAATATATATTTAAGAGATTTAATTTATATCAAAAGTAACTCGTGAGATTAATTTTTTAACTGATCGAATCGAAAATAAAAATTTTAATTTTATAGAAATAGAAAAATATACATTTCCATTCTAATGGATGAAAAACATAAAAGCATGGTTTGATTTTTTATTATTTAAAACCATTGATTTAAACCTTGTTAGAAAAACAATATTTACCGGCTAATTTCAAATAACCGCTCACTTCTTGGGAAAGTGTGCAATTTCCCTATCAGCAGGGTTGCCAGGTTGGGGGGTTTTCCCTAGATTTAGAGCTGTTTTACTTCTTAGTGTTTTTATTTTAAGAGAAAAATGTTTTTTTGTGTGAAAAAATTTATACTTTTTAATGCGTTCCCCATTTTTCTCAGATTAAAAACTTTCTAAATGGGTGGAAAAAACTAATTTGAAAACACCCCGTGAATTTTTATTATTAATTTATTGTAAATGTATTCACCAAACATACATGATAATAAGTAGGACTAGAATTTTCGTGTAGTAAGAAATGGCTAATTTGTAAATTAAATGTATTAATTTGTGAAGGATGTGTAAATATATTTAATTCATTTATACATTTAAACATAAAAATGAACTACTCATTGTCAATTCTCTGCAGTTGAACTCCCCCGTCTTGACCAAAAAGTAGAGGGACGTCTAGCTCTTTTAAACTCCCCCCTCCCTCCCGGATCAGGTGATGATTTTTTATTGCTATATTATAGTTAATATGGACGTAGACACCATCCAGATTGAGGGGCACAGAACGCGATCCGCGATATTTTTGTATAGCTCACAAACGGATCCACGATTTAATTTTGGGGGAGAGAGGCTTCAGCCCGAAAGATTTTTCTTGTATATATATATATATATATATATATATATATATTAGGGTAATTATTACTTCGGAAGAAAGAAAGAAACTAACTACCTATATGAAATGGTGTTTAAGTGATTCCTAAAGTCCTTTTAAATGTAATTACGCTAACAATAATACTTAAAGCGATATTTTTTAAATATTTTTTTCCATAAAACATGGTTATATTTTACCATTTTGTGGGAAGGGAGAGAGGCTTCAGCCCGAAAGCTCCCCCTCCCGTAGATCCGCCCGTGCTCTATGGGACTTTAATAATGCAATAGATAGTAAGTAATCCAAGTAGCCAGCCCGGGCAGAGAACGCAGATCTTCGCGACAGATCGTGTTCTATGTTCTATATAGTATTTAGCTTTGCCCCCTCAGTTTCCAATTTCCAGGTATATTCCTACATACAAGAGTTTTAGCAATAAATATAAATTAGCAATGGTCTACAATGAATAATGAAATATTGGGTGGGCAAATAAGTCCTTTCGGTTTTTCGGTTTATTTTTATGTCACTATGATACACTTCTTATTTGATGAATTAACCACTAACGTGGATTGTTTGTCCTGTTTTTAATATGTCAACAACTATATGTCCTGTTTTTAATATGTCAACTCCTGTTAAAACTAGCTTAGTATTGTGTTTGCTATTGCACTGTGATGATGGAAGAAAATGTCATTCATTATCAGCATGTTTTGTATTATTTTAAAAAAGGTAAGTGTGCTGCAGAAGTTCGTAGAAAAATTTGCAGCGTTTTTGGGGATGGGCCCTTAACCGAATGCATCTGTCGAAATTGGTTTGCCAAATTTCATTCAGGAAATTTTTACATCAATGATGCTCAACGGTCTAGTCGCTCACATGAAATTTAAATGTTAAGGCCCTTTGTTAATTAAAATCCCATCCAATCTGTGCGAGAGATTGCTATGGCCCTAAATGTGTAGCATAGAAGCGTAGACAACCATTTGCACAAGCTCGACTATGTTTCCAGGCTTAATGTTTGGGTCCCTCACATGCTTTTTTTTTCGAAAAGCACAAAAAAGTGTTATAACTTCAATACGACTTTAGCTATCTACAAGACATTTAGCAGGAATTTAGGGCCACATAAATTACACAATATGGCATCAACAGGACCTTCGTAAACAAACTACAAGTAGAGATAAAAAAGAAAAACCTGTAAGGAGTTTTTGTTTATTTATTCCTTATGTAGGCATTAAATCAAAAAACCATTCATACTGCTTTGAAGAGCAATAATTCAGCTTTCTAACGGATATAGTAACATCGAATTCGGAGAACATCCTGAAGAGTTATGAATGATCGGAAGGGTATTGTGTTCCACCAAGACAACACTAGGCCCCGCACCTCATTGGTCACTCGCAATAAATTATTGAGCCTTGGATGGGGCCTTTTACCCCCCCCCCCTCTCCCCCCTCAGACATTCTATGAACATGGCATCATGCGGATAGTGGAAAAATGAGAAAAAGTCTTATTAAATAGTGGTCAATATATTGTAGATTAAAATAAATTTTATGTCTATGATACATTGTATTTTATTTCACCCTGAAAAATCAAAAGGACTTATTTGCCAATCCCATATTAAGTTCAAGCTACTCTCTTTAATATATGTTTTTGTTTGTTAATTAAATTATTTTGATTTTCGGCACTATTCATTCATGTAAATGAAGGAAAAAAAAATAATAGATTCTATCGGGTTAAATGTTATTAGTTTTTATTATTATTAGTTTCAACAAATAATTCTCAGAAACTTCCCTTGCCCATCCAAAAGTTCTATAAAGTCACACTATAATAATTAAATCAGTGGTAACAACCAATTGAGTCGCTTATTTCCAAAGTGAGCCCTAATCAGTTTTTTTTTTTTGGAAATCGAGATACTTATAGATTCCTGTATAAAAATATCCAATAAACTTGATGGTGCAATTTTTTTTTTCTCAAAAACTAACCTAAATATTTTTAAAAGTTTTGGGAAATAAAGTTATTTTCCAAGCTGTTTTTTTTTTTTAATTGTAAGGATCTTGCATTTTCCAAGTATTAAAAGAAAATTAAAGCATATCCTCATAACCTTACCAAATAGCTATGTTTTTCGATAAAGGCCAGTTATAAAAAAGTCTTAACGAATAGGAAACGGTTGTTTTTGGCGTTTCACTGTTACTTTTAAGATTTTTTGTGAAAATATTTATTATTGCTGCTATTTTAAGGAAAACTTTTTTATGAAAAGTGTTGATTAACATTTTATCATTTCTATTCGAATCGCCTCATTTGGAGGTATCCTAACACATAGACCTCCACGCCCATGTTTAAGGAATGAGCGCAGCCAATTCAAAACATACTCTCAGTGTCAAAATGTTAGACACGCCCATTGAAATATTATATTTTTTAAAATTTATTTATTGAGTATTACTACAATCTGTCACCTGGACGTTAGTTATAGTGAGGTGGAATAACATTCACACTATATGTACAGAAAAATATACAATAAATAGAAGCAAAATAACAATAAATAATAATCAAAAAGTATATACAATAAATGAAATAAAATAACTTAAAAATAATAAAATTAAAACAAAGCAAAAAGCACGTGGATACCTATGTACACTATTTACAATCAGGCGAGAGAACTCCGAGGCGGGCTTGTCCCTCCATCTTTGGAGAGAAAATCTGGACTCCAGGAGAACCCTGCGCTACTCTCTCAACCATATCACTCGATATTGATCGAGAGCACTTTAGCCACATACACTCTTATCTTGAGCGGAGAATCTGGCCATTGTCAGAACTCCAATATATACAATCTACAAAAGCTCGAGGGGCCACTGCCGTTTCAACCTTCTTGGAGGATAATAGGAATGGTTGGTGCTTGTTAGGGATTTTGCAAGAGGATTTGGATGTTACGTAAGGTTCTGGTGAAATTTGGAGAATTTTTCTGGGATAAGGTCTAGGATAAATGGGATGTTGAGGTCAGGATGTAGAGTTTTATTAGTTATATAGAAGGGAGCATCGACTATTGTTCGAAGGACTTTTGACTGGAAGGATTGGATGCGTTTGATACTAGAAAATTTTGCTGTTCCCCACAATTTTAGTCCGTAAGTCCAAATAGGTTTCACTATTGTCTTGTAGATCAGTAACTTGTTTCCAATAGAAAGTTTAGACTTTCTGTTTAGTAGTCTGTATAGTTGGCCGTATTGTCGTTTAAGTTCCTGTCTTTTAAGTCTTCTATGACGGTTCCATGTTAATCTTCGGTCTAAGAGAAAGACAAGATACCGGAGAATTCAGTAACCATTGAAATTAAAAAATATTTTCAGTGGGACAATCTTCTCAGGTCTTGAGGATTATTTAAGTCCTATATCTGTAAATATTGACATTTTATAAGCGTCAAAATGATAGAGACACTTATTGTTAACTATTTTCTTAATCCTCTAGAGTAGAAATGGTTAAAATTTCATTTCTACTTTAGTGCAGTATTAAATTTGTTTCAAAATAGACCTAAAAAGAACGTGAGTTATGGGGGAAAAAAATTGTTTCTCCAAAGAAGAGCGCCGTTTGATTTTTTCACTCCACAAGAACGAGATGAGTTGTAGGGAAATAGCCCGCAGAATCAAGAGGAATTTTTCATCGGTCGCGAAGTTTATTCAGCACGGGGAGACATATGGAACCCACCGTTCTACTGGGAGGCCTCCTTGAACATTTTCCAAACCCCCAACTCCTAAAAAAACGTGATGATTACTGTTTGGTGGGCTTCATTTGGTTTGATTCCCTACAGCTTCTTAAATCCTGGATAAACCATCAATGCCTAATCGTATTGTAACCAAATTAATACAATGCATCGTAAATT